AAAAAAAAATTTCTCAGAAATAAAGACATTAAAGCGAAAATTAGACAATTTAAAGTAATTTTTTTTATTTATTAAAAGATTTTTTCGAGCGCCAAAATGTAGGCAACGTTTTCTTTTCATATTTAGACTTCTATCTTTCGCTAAAAAAATCACACAACATATTGTTATTGGATAGTAAATAATTTATAACCAAAACGAATTTGCACTCATGTTTGTCGACTGAAAAGACACAAGTTTTGATATGAACCCTTCCCTCGGTACCCTTTGTTTCCACAAACTTTAATTTTATAATTTTTTACAGCAAAAGATAACATTTAACAATATATTAGAGATTTCTAAGAAACGTGTACATTTTCGTTATCTAGACAATAAGCCGTAAAGTGGTTAAAGGTAAATATGTTCCGTCAAAGCGCTGTGGCAGAAAAATAAGTGTCTTCCGAAATACATACATATAAACCTTTTAAGATAGCAAGTTCCGGTGTTCTAAGATTTTTTTCTTTTTGAAATTTATAACAAGTTTATTTTTGTGAACTTTGAAGTATTTAAACACTTCAAATGCTTTAAATGATATTTAACTGGCGTTGAAGACGTGAAGAAGGGTGGATACAAATTAAAATAAGAACTGATATTATCAGCGGCCTGAGCTAAAGTGATATTCATATCAGTCTGATATATGATGTTTATTTGAAACATAGCGAAATATTATATTTTTATGAGAATTTGACCAATATTCAAATATGTTCGCAATATAGGCCACACAAACGGGGCCTTCATTCAACTGATTATACGAGAGATGGTTTTTATATTTTAAAATATTCAATTAATTAAAAACAAGTTCACACATGCGCTTAATTAGTTTATTTAAATTATTTAATGGCTTAAAATGAAAAATTCATATGGAAGCTAAATTCAGTAGAACCAAAACACTGTTCACACAGGCTCTGTATTAAGTAATTGAGATCATTTAGTTAGCTAACATTTAATTGCAGAAAATTTTCTTTATAGAGATACATTCGATTAGTAAAAAAAAAGCTCTGTTCACACTGGGACTAAATTAACTAATTTAGAACCTTTAACAGCTGAAATTCTTAATAAAAAGTTCTTAGCTTCATTTGATACCTTTATTTGGATTTTAAATAAATTATATAAATTAAGTATTATTAACGAAGAAAATAGTAAAAAATATGCTTAAAGCGGATTAGTTATTATTAAAAATAGTACATAAAGCCCTTTTGTTCATACAATTAGAATAAACATTCTCAGCACTAAAGCATTAATTATTTCAACTTAATTGACTGTTTGTGTGAACAACGCAGCTTAATTGTATTCTTCGCAAATTCGAGATTTTACCTATTATTCCTGTAGAAACTTTTTAGATTCGATATGAGACATATAACTCTATCAGTATATTTATATTTTTTTTTTTACTTATTTTTACTTTTTTAATTAAATTCTTTTATTTTTTTAATAGTTTTCTTTATTTTTTACATTTAATTATTTTTATTCTCATTTTTATATTTATTTTATTTTTATATATTTTTTTTCAATTTATGTTATTACTTTTTTATTTTTATACTTTTTTACTTTTTTTGTTTTAATTTTATTTTTATTACTTTAATATTGCACTTTTACTTTTTAAATTAAATTTTTTTATTTTTTTTTTAATATTTTTCTTTATTTTTACATTTAATTCTTTTTATTCTTATTTTTATATTTATGTTATTTTTATTTATTTTTTTTAATTTATTTAATTACTTTTTTACTTGTTTTTTGTTTTAATTTTATTTTTATTACTTTTATATTGCACATTTACTTTTTTTTACTTTTTTAATTAAATTCTTTTATTTTTTTAATATTTTTCTTTATTTTTACATTTAATTCTTTTTATACTTATTTTTGTATTTATTTTATTTTTATTTTTTTTATTTAATTACTTTTTTACTTGTTTTTTGCTTTAATTTTATTTTTATTACTTTTATATTGCACTCTTACTTTTTTTTACACTTTTAATTAAATTCTTTTATTTTTTTCAATATTTTTCGTTATTTTTACATTTAATTCTTTTTATTCTTATTTTTATATTTATTTTATTTTTATTTATTTATTTATTTATTTATTTTTTTATTTATTTATTTATTTTTTTATTTATTTAATTACTTTTTTATTTTTATACTTTTTCACTTGTTTTTTGTTTTTATTTTATTTTTATTATTTTTATATTGTACTTTTACTTTTTTCTATTTTTTTGATATTTTGCCATTTTATTTCTCAATTGATCTTTTAATTTTTTTTACATATATTTATTTTTTATTTTTATTCTATTTGAATTATATTTTTATTTAAATTTTATTATTTTTATATTGTACTTTAACTGTTTGTCTGTTTTGTTGATAATTTTAAATTCTATTTTTATATTAATTTATTTTTTATTCATCATTTATTTATCCACTACTTTCAGCTTGAAGAATAAATTGTCATTTCCTATATGTTCTTCTCGTTCAAGTTCACAAGCATTTCTTTCCAATTCACTTTGACAACTCACTTTTTCCATTTCCATCAATATTACTATCATCGTCTTGGCGCAACTGTCATAAGTTGTGAGATTTCTTAACGTCTCAATTGTCAAGGTCAACATAATATTGTGCTGCTTCACACTTACGTGTACACATCTTTCACATAACAAAAGCAAATCATCTAACGAGGGCTACTACTTCACGCATTACTGTTTTTTACTGTTTTCTCCTTCTTCTTGCTTGGCCGCTCGCTGAGCTAGTTAGTTTTTTGTCAGTTCATATTTGTGCAATATGCTGCTTGCCTGAGCTGAGCTACAAAATACAACAATTGCGTGCGACAACAATATTAAGGGTCAGCCGGCAGCAAGTTACAACACTTCAAGTCTAAAGCAGAAAATGTGCTTAGAGCTTTGCTTGCGCTGCTGCTGTTGTTGCTGTTGAAGTGAACCTGAATATGTTTTGTATGTGTTTGCTGATGATGGGTCTTACGCCAGTTAATTGGTTGGTTTGGAAAAACCTACGCTAAGTAGAGCACAAAATATTATTACATTCAATTTACTTCAGTTTGTGGGTAACACGATTGCATTACTTAGATGGCCTTGCACTGTGTCGTATGCAATATTTGTTGAAATGAAGCGAGACTAAGGTCCCACGGCGATGGACGATTTACTCGAACTTGAGTAAGTTCCTCTTGAGTAATTTATAAAAACTTTTTTGTGTAGCTGGCAGAGCTGGCCTCTGATTATTGAAACCTTTCGAAGAAATGATGTTGGGAAACTGAGAGAGAGATATGGAGAGTCCCTTTCGAATATAAGATGAAACAAAGCTTAAATCTTGGGTGCAAGTGAAGAGAAATTTCAATCGATAAACTAAATATATTCAGAAAGATAAATGAGCCAGATAGAGAGAGAGAGAAAGAGAGAAAAAGATAGGAAAAGAGAGAGGGGAAGGAAAGAGAGAAAATGAGAGAGAGAAAGAGAGGGAGAAAGAGAGAAGGAGAAAGAGAGAGAGAGAGAGAGAGAGAGAGAGAGAGAGGGAGAGAAAGAGGGAGAGAAAAGAGGTAGAAAGAGAGAGAGAGAGAGAGAGAGAGAAAGAGAGAGAGGGAAAGTGAGAGAGAGAGAGAAAGAGATAGAAAGAGAAAGAGAGAGAGAGAGAGAAAAGAGGTAGAAAGAGAGAGAGAGAGAGAGAGAGAGAAAGAGAGAGAGGGAGAGAGAGAGAAAGATAGAGAAGAGAGAGAAAAAGACAGGGAAAAAGAGAGAGAGAAAAGAAGAGAGAAAAAGAATACGAGAGGGAGAGAGACAGAAAGATAGAAAGAGGGAGAAAAAGAAAAAGAGAGGGAGAAAAAGAGAAAAAGGGAGAGAGATGGAGAGAGGGAAAGACAAAAACAGGGAGATAGAGATAGACAAAGACAGAAAGAGAAAGAGAGAGAGAGAGAGAGATGGAGAGAGGGAAAGACAAAAACAGAGAGATAGAGATAGAGGAAGACAGAAAGAGATCGAGAAAAAGAAAGAAAAGGAGAGAGAAAGGGACACTGAAAGGCACTCATATCTCTTCGAGGTAAAGAGTAATAGAAAACTCTTGAAATACTATGAAAATTTATTTAACAAAAACTGTTAGTAAAAAATAAAAATGGGAATACCAAAGTAAACCAAAAAAATATATTTGTATATTGGTAAAAAAATATTAAAAAAAAATTAAAGCAAAAATTAGAAACGTTTAATTAAAAAAACTTAAATTGAAAAAAATTAAAATAAAATATGTTAAAATGAAACTAAAATCAAATAAAACATAATAGAATACATAAAACAAAATTAAAAAAATTAGTAAAATTAAAGAAAAAAATAAATAAAATGACATTGAATGAAACTAAAATAATTAAAATAAAATAAAGTGATATAAAAGAAAATGAAATTAATATATACTAAAATTAAATAAAGTAAAATAAAATAAAAGCAACATAAAGCAAAATTTGGTTAAATAAAATAAAGTTAATAAAATGACTATGCCCATTAGAATTTAATAACTTTTTTTAATCAAATATCAATTAATTTCACTGTTATTTATTCAATTTTAGCATTTTCAACGAATCATTCATTCCACATGCAATTAATTATAAGAAATTTTTAATGGATTGTCATTATTAAAACTTGCAAATGTCTCGACATGACTGTCAAGGATTAGCACTATAAATAATTCAAAATGCTTTGCTGTCAAATAAGTAAGTATGTATTGAATGAGTTGAGTACACGTGGCATACGTGGATCATGTCATCAACATACTCCATCTATTAATTTATCATTTTCAACACATAAAATACGAATATGTTTTTTTTTAAGGACAACATAAGTGCGTGGTATGTGCATTTAAAAACTCAAACTGCTAAGCCCATTGAGCTATGGAATATTTGGAAAGGCGTGAACACAAGCTTACTCCACATACAGCAATATCAAAAAAAAAAAAAAAATAATAAAGGCTTATATAACTCACCATTTCCACAATGTTATGATTGGTATTTGAGAAGCACAATTTATTATCTAAAAATAGAGAAATTCAAAAAAGGTTTTATTGAAAAAATTTACATCGAAAAATTATTATTAAAATAGCTAAAGGAATTTTTAAAAATTTATTTCACACACAACCTTCACCCCAAATTCTTGCTGCGGGCAAAGAAATTTACTTAAACGTAAATTAAATGCAAACAATAGTGCCAGCATACATGAAAAGGATCAACTATTATTCAGGCGAAAATTTGAGCTGAGTGTGTGTGTGTGATTTTATGTGCGTGCCACACACATACACGTACATAAGTTGTATATGCATTGATAAAGGTCGTGAGTGTGCGAGGTTGTCGAAAGTGAGAGGATTTTAAATGTGTAGCAACAATTTGGCTCCCAAAAGAAAGGGGGATAATTCAAGAAGCTAACAAAGAAAACTGTAAATCAGTAGATTTTAAATTAGGGAGGAGTCAAAATGTAATGAGTAATGTGAACAGTGAATAAACTTGAATATGTAATTTACATATTAATATTATGGAAAGAAAGCAGAGGACATTGAACAGAGAGAGTGGGTAGATATAGCAGGAAAATTAAATATGCACTCAAAAAAAAAAAAAAAAAATCCATAAAATTAGATAATAAATAAAAAAAATAAACCAAATTAAAATAAACTGAAATAATATAAAATCGATAAGCAAATACCCAGAAAAATAAAACAAAAAATAAAAATATATGTATGTATTTAAAACATTTATTAATAAATCCAACTAAAAAACGTATTCAAATACTTCTATATTGAAAATGAAAAATATAGAGAATGCCAATGTTTAAACGCCCACTAATATACTACAAAGCTGCATTGACCATTGCAAAACGCATGCTAATGACTTCTGTGGCAATAATTTCATTTCTGGATGCCACATGCACTCCTACATATAAGCTAACCTGCCACAATGGTCAGAAAAACCGTTAAGTGCACACACAGCAGCTATGAATTATGCAAAAGCGTATGGCGTAAGGAAGTGAATGCCACGTCATCGATTTATATTTCTATATTTAGTGCAGGGCACGTAGCAAAAAGAATTTAACTTGGGTGGGCTTTTGTGGTTAACTATGCAAACCACAGAGTGAGTCACGGCTGCAAGTGTGTATTTGCATATGGAATGGCACAGCAAATGCCAAGAAACCAGTTAAGACGTCATTGTTTTGATTGCATTTTATGGTGGCAAAACCAAAAGTTTAATTCGCTCGATGCGTGTTGTCGTCATGTGGAGGGAACAGATTGAAAAAATACAAAATTAATAATAAAATCATAATTATAATTTAAAAAAAATTAAAAATAATTAAAACAAAAAAAAAACCAAAAATAATTATAATAAAATAAACTAAAAATATAAAATAAAATCAAAATTAATAAGAAATATAATAATTAACAAAAATATTAATTAGAAAACATAAAAAATCATATAAAATAACAATAATAATAAAAACTAATAAAAAAAAACAAAAATGAAACAAAGATAATATTAAAATTTTAATAATTAAAATTAAAAAAAAAAACAAAAAAAGGATTAAAAAAACTATAAAAAATTATAAAAAGAAATAAAACCATACAGAAAGGTTATAAAAAATTAATTTCAAACAAAAGGATTAATAAATTAATAAAACCAACTAAAGAAAAGTAAAAAAAATAATTAATATATGAATTTATATATATCATAACAAAGAAACAAATCTATTTAAATATATCATAAAAATTAAACAAAGAAATGAAACTAGAATATTAATAATTGAAATTAAAAAAAATTAAAAAAATTATAAAAAAATCTATAACGAAACCAGGTCATAAAAAAAAAATAATTTAAAACAAAAGGATCAAAAAATTATTAAAACCAACTAAAGAGATATAAAAAAAAATAATTTAATAAATGAATTTAAATATAATTAAAATTAAATTAAACAAAACAATAAGGTTATAAAAGAAATAGTTTGAAACAAAAGGATTAAAAAATTAATAAAACCAACTAGAATTTCTCTGAAAAAATAATTAATTAATATATGAATTTAAATATATTATAAAAAATAAAAAACAAATATTTATATAAAAAAAATAACAAAACTGATAAAAAACCTAAAATAAAAGTATGAAAAATTAAAAAAAAGTTAAAAAATAGTATTTAAAAAAAAATTATTTTTTAAAATATTTAAAACAAAGAATAAAAAATTAGTCAGAAATGTTATATAGCAAAATAAAAAACTAATAAATATATCAATTTAAAAACATTAAAAAATAAAAAATAAAAAAATAAAAATTATAAAAAGAAAAACCAATTAAAAACTTGAATGGAACAAAAGTATTACAAATAAAAAATTATAAATAATATAAGTAAAAACTTTAAGAAACTTAAATGAAAAATAACATAAAAAACTGTGACTTATTTACATTTAAAGTTTTAATAGATAATAATTAAACTAAATAATATATATATATATTTTTTTTATTTATTTTATGTTATTTTTCATTTAAGCTATTTTTAAATTGTTTATAATATATATATATATATATATATGTGTAAGTACTACAGTATATAATAAATATAAATACATTAGCAAATATAAAACTAAAATAAAAAATTATGGATAAATATAAAATATAAGATTTTCGCAAGAAAAAATAATTAATAGAAATTAATTTTTTATTTATATTGGGCTTGTTTGCTGACGGCTGATAAAAACTACAAAACTCAGAACACATCACACATCCGAGTAATTCAAAAACTCATTCAAAATGCATGTAAAAATAAAAGATTAACCTACACATACACGGCTGACGCACGCACGAAAAATTGCATTTGGCAAAAACTTTTCAAGTCTATATTTAGGCGCAAACGCGCATGAAGCGTATAATTTGTTTACACCACAGCAACTAAAACTGAACTCTATGCGTTGTTGTCTCACTGAACTTTACATAACCGATGCAAACTTTGCATTTCACATTTATTAGAAGCAAAACGACTTGCACAACTACGACATTTTCCCCAACAGCATATAAAAAGTTTGCTCTTATGCGTGGGAGGGGAAAATAGAGCTTGAGCAACTTTTGCAAAGAATATTTTATGCAAAATTGCGCTTAAAATAACTTGAGAGTTTCCCATAACGTCTGGTATTTAATTCCAATTATAATTAACAGATTTTTCAACGATGAAACGATTTTTTTTCAGGCGTTTGCTCTTTGTTTTATGAACTCAACTGCTGCTTGACGTTGTGTTACAGCAGCAACAAGTCGAGTTAGTGCATGTGTCCTGGCGTTGTACGTGAATTTTAGCATCAACTCGTACATTAATACACATATATGTTATGTATATATATGAAGGTATGCATGTATTTAGCATGTCACAAACTTTTCTCTCGTGTATTAAAGGTGAGAGGAAAGTGAAATGATGTCGCTGAAAAGCTTCGTAAATAATGCCAGACAATACATCCTTGTATATTTGCATCGTTGTATTATTTATGTTTACTTGCACCTGACAAGTACATAAGCAAATATTGTTTTAGCGCCTCCAAAGTAAAGCTTGAACTTTGTTTTTAAATACAATTTGATAAATTACTGTTGTTAATTTCGATTTTAATAAGAAAAAAATAAAATAAACTTAAATCAACCAAAAGCAAAATTGAAATAAATAAAAAAATGTAAACTAAACAAATATTAAAGCTAAGAAATACTAAAATTAAAAAAAATATAATAAAATAGAAACAAATACAATAAATTCGAAAAAATATAAAGTAAATAAATATAAAATAAAACTAAATTAAATGCAAGCAAGCAAAACCAATAAAACGAATCACAAAGCAAAATATCATTAAATAAAACAAAATTAATTTAAAAAATTAAATATATTGAAAAAATATATAAAAAAAATTAATTAATTAAAAATTAAATAAAATAAAAGTGTTATGTAATTAAAAATAAAAAATATATAAATTAAATTAAATTAAATTAAAAAAAAAAAATTCCAAGAAATAGAACTTCCCTTTTACTTTCACCATCATCATGGACGAGTTTGGGTATGCCACTCTCTATTTGTAAGCTCACTATAGGTAAGTCATTCATCAAATATGCTTATTCAAGATGGAAAAGTCTCATAATGGCACAGAAGACCTTATCGAGCAATTATAGGTCTTCTTAGAGGGTATATTACACCATATGGGCATGCCAGCAAACGACTTCAGCAGAAGTTTCAGACAAGAGAGGGAACCTGAAACCTTAAGGCTCTTTCTTTGCGAATGTCCCGGACTTTGAAGGAATAGGTTGAAGTTTCTAGAGACGGCAACTTTTGGGGACTTGAGCGAGATGGCAAAGGCAAAGATTCGATGATGAACACAATTGTTGACCTAAGTGAGCTGATGCCTGGCGGCAATCATTTCAACCAACCAAGGAAAATAATCATAAAAAAAAAAATAATAATAAAAAAAATAAAATAATAAAACAATAAAATAATAATAAAAAAATAAAATAAATATATAACAATAAAAAAATTAAAAAATTAATAAAAATAATTAAAAAAATAACATAATAAAAAAATAATAATAAAAAAAAAATAAAACAATAAAACAATAAAATAATAATAAAAAAATAAAATAAAAATATAACAATAAAAAAATTAAAAAATTTATAAAAATAATTTAAAAAATAACATAATAAAAAAATTATAATAATAAAAAAATAAAATAATAAAACAATAAAATAATAATAAAAAAATAAAATAAAAATATAACAATTAAAAAAATTAATAAAAAATAATTAAAAAAATAATATAATAAAAAAATAATAATAATAAATAAATAAAAATAAAATAATAAAAAATAACAAAAAAAAAATAAAATAATAATTTAAAAAAAAAATAAAATAATATAAGAAAATAAAGATATAAAATAATACGAAAGAATAAGAAATTAAATAAAACTAAAAAAAAAAAAAATAAAAAAATATAGAAGTTAAAAATTAAAATAAAATATAAAAGTTAAAAAAATAAAATAAA